CCTCCCTGGCAGTGTTGAAGGCCGGGCTGGTTGGGGCTCTGAGCAGCCTGGTCTAGTGGAAGATGTCCCTGCTCATGGCAAGGGGGTTGGAACCAGGTGATCATTAAGGTCCCTTCCAACCCTTACCATTCAATGATTCTATGTGCTAGTTATATGTTCTTGGGTCTGTTCTTGCCCAAAGCCTCTGATAGTCCTTTGCTTTCTGCTTAATCTTTGTGATGTTCCTTATCGCTCTCACACGTTACGTACCCTCCTGCACATTAAATAATGTACCCTTTTTCACAACAGGGCAGCTGTGCTCCCGCCATGCAGCGGGGCCTGCTCTTCAGGAGCTGCACAGGTCAAAGCACAGCAAAAACGTCCTCATTTTTTGACCGAGTTATGCTCTAATCCACTTTGTCGTGTTTTTGCTAAGGCTTCTGCTGATAAAGGGGAGCAGGACTTAGATCAAAATTTGAAGCGGGACATCTGAAAGCAAGTTTGTTTTGACGGACGAAGAGGATCAGTGCAAGGAAAAGCAGGATCAGTTGTGGCGTGTCCCCTCCTCTCTGGCTGTCGCATGCTGCTGTCTGTGCAACGCGCGTGACTGTAGCTGCTGCTGCCGCTTGGAAAGGCCACGGCGCCCAACGGGGTGTTCTCGTGGCTTTGGACTTCGGCACTCGGGACTGCTGTGGTCGTTGCTGCTGAGCGCAAAATGGAAGAGACGGGTCCAGGTACAAAGCAGTCTGAAAAACCAGAGCAAGGACATGCGAAATAAGGCGTAGGTCCTCCTAGCGAGCTTGGAGGCGGGAGAGTAAAAATGCTGGAAGGGACGAGCACTGAAGCATTTCTAGGCTTTAAATCAGTAAATCACCAGGGTTTAAGGTTCCCAGTGCCATTTTTTAACTGGCACCTTCCACAACCTGCTCAAGACAAAGCTGAGATACGAGACCAAAATGGCTCTAGAAAAGAGGTGGCACTGTATCAAGACAGCTTTTTTCCCTCTTTTATTTGGGAGACTGTGCAGTGTTTGGATCTGCTGAAACGCTCTGTAATTAGATGGAGTGTATTGAAATAGAAATGGAGTTCCTAGTTTTTGATGCAGGTGAGGAAGGATTGTTTGCTTAGTTGGTACGTGAATGCTGTTACACTGAAAATCAAACTTTGTTACTAACTTTCATGGCCTGAAGAATTTCAAATTTAGGTAATTACGTTCAAATAGTGTGATGTACAGACAAAAATAAAAGATGGGTATATAAATGTGAAATAACCTAGAGAACGATAGCCTGTAAGAAAATCACTGAGGATATTGACTATGTCCCCAAGCAACCACAAATGGAGAGACACCAGACTTCCATGGGGAAGTGGCTATGAGAACACCGATTGAATCTGAGCTGCTTTGTGTGTAATCTTGTTTTTTCATTTCCAGGCTGTCAGCATTGCAGTTTGTGGCACAGACCAAAGCCTGAAGAAGTCAAAAGAAAGATTTCCATTGATTTCTGTGGGCTTTGTCTGGTTCCTTAGCCATTACAGTGTCATCCTATTGAAACAAATTAAAAAAAAAAAAGAAATTAGAAAGTGTACAATGTTTGGATGCTTATCCCCGCTTGATTCATATGGCAGATCTCTGCATTGCTGTTTATATTCCTTAGCAACCACAACTCGAGTGCTGTGCTTTCCTGCTGTGTAAGAATAGCTGTTTTCTTGCTGTCTTTGTGTATTACGTGCACACTTAGAGTGGTGGCTATTTGGCGCGAGTCTTAGATAACTCATGAAGCATTGGTAAGGCCCACATAGGGTTGTTTCTAATGAGAAAAATCTCCTGTCGTCTTAAAATGTGCTCTACCTCTCTGAAATCTCTACGTGCTGAGGCTAAGCTGGGTCCAGTAACCTGTTAAAAAAACAACCCACAAACAGGACAAAAACCCCTAAGGCGATTTGAATCAAGAGAGCAAGGAGATTGGGCAAACCACAGAATCATAGAATGGTTTGGGTTGGAAGGGACCTTAAAGATCATCTGGTTCTAACCCCCCTGCCATGAGCAGGCACACCTTCCACTAGACCAGGCTGCTCAAAGCCCCATCCTACCTGGCCTTGAACACTGCCAGGGAGGGGGCAGCCACAGCTTCCCTAGGCAACCTGTGCCAGGGCCTCACCACCCTCAGTGTAAAGAATTTCTTCCTAATACCTAATCTAAATCTGCCTTCTATGTTCCTTCTTCCCTATAATGTTCCTTCTTCCCTAAGGACTTCAGAGATACCAAAGCAGTGTTCCTTTCCAGAGGGCCAAGAGGGGAGCAAAGAGTTGAGTCGGTAAACGCCAAAATTCGACTGTTTTTGCAACTGTATGGATTTTAGTGTAAAGCGTAACCAACCTCGTGAATCATAGAAAGTTTTGGGTTGGAAGGGACCCCTAGAGGTCATCTAGTCCAACCCCCCTGCAGTGAGCAGGGACACCACTAACTAGATCAGGTTGCTCAGAGCCCTGTCCAACCTGGT